AGCCGGGATTAGCCCGAGCATCTGCCTCGGTCATTGCGTACACTCTCGCTTGAGTTCTTCCTTGGTTCACGGAGGGTGCGTTGCTTGTACTTGCCCCGCTGTGACCCACGCTTGCATTTGGTGCCCCACCCCGGTTTCTACTCACTGTGGTTGCACTGCTTGGTCCTGATGACCGGTTCCCACCAAGTTGAGGGTAGTTGGGCTTTATGTGCCCCGTATCTCCGCATTGGTAGCACTGTGGGGGATCACGACATTTGCCCTCGTGATTTTTCTTGCAATTCCTGCACTTAGGCTTTGTCGAGGCTTGTGACCCCGAGTTTTGCCCACCCATGTTGGGATTCCCCCTTGATGGTGGTGCGGGTGCCCTGAAGGATCCTCCTCCCCCGTGATTCCCCTTCTTGTTTGAACCCTGGGGGCCATGGTTCTCCCATTTTCTTTTGTTTGCCTCTTCGGCGTTTCTTCGCTTCCTTTCTTCCCACTCCTTCTCTCCCTTCAAACCTTGTTCCACCACTTGACTAAATGTCATATTAGGCAATTGTGTTGCCCTCTCACGTATGTCAAGGTCCAAGGCATCCCAGAAATGGTTCACCATCCGATTTTCATCGCAAATGTACTCCGGTATGAACTCGGCAAGCTTTCTGAATTTGTGCTCAAGTTCCTTCACCGTGCATTCCCCTCCTTGGGTCAAATTCGTGTACTCCCTCCTCTTCAAGTTCACCTCGAAGTCGGAGTAGTATTGGCTAAAGAATTCTTGCCTGAAGTTCTCCCAAGTGACCGTCTCACCATACTTCCCCTTGACACCGTCCCACCATGTGGACGCCATCCCTTCTAGCAATCTTGTTGCCACTCTCATCTTCATATGGGGTGGCAGCTGCATATCAAGGGCCGCTTCATTGAATCTTTTGATCCATTCGGCTGCCACGGAGATGTCTCCCATTCCATCAAATGGTTTGCATCCCAACTCTCTCGCCTCTTTGAGGTATTTCGAGATTCTTATGATAGGAACCTCGGCACCTCTTCCTCCTCGGAACTCCTCATGTTCCCTAGAGCTAACACGGCTCCCTCTTCTCGAAGCCCCTCCCGAAGCACGCCTTGCCCGGCGCCTTTGGCGATCTTGTTGGTATTGCCGAAGCAATTCCTCAATCCGCTCGAGGGCGTCATTATCATCATTCTCTTCGCTAACGTCATCATCCTCCCCATCATATGGGGTTTCAACCGGCTCAGTTCCCGGTCGGTAAGTTGAATCCTCCTCGGACTCATAATGCTCGTCAATCGTCTCAACATGGCCGTCACTCGCGGTCAGCGAGTGGCCTGCATGGCCTTGTCCCCTGGACGCCCTCGATGCCCCCCGACTGCCACGTTAGGACCCTCCCGGTGCCTGGCCAGTCGGGTTCCGTCGAGTAACTTTCCCGGTACGTTCCATTTCTGAAAGAAATTGAGAATGAGCCATTAGACTCGTATCAATGTCAAGTGACGGATAGGCACTTAAAGACATCCTTCGGCTCAAATCACCGTCATACCAATTGTTAAGGGTACCATCTTAACAATTAGAGACTTTGCAACTCAAGTACCAAAAGTTCTATAAGTGCAAAACTTTTATGCTCATGGTTTTCAAAATCATTTTCAAAAGGGATTTTGAAGCTTCATTATGAAGTTTATGGACCAAGGCTCTGATACCAATTAAATTGTCACGCCCCGGACCTACCCGGACACGTCAACAATCCGCCGTACAGTACGAATGGTCAACCGTGGTCCAACACATTCATACTATACAAGGCGTCTGGGATATCATTCACACATAGTACATCCATAAACAAACATAATATAAAATATTCATTGAAAACAGCGGAAACGTTTAATACAAGTGTTCAAGCCACACTTGGCGAAGCATGGGCATACAAGCCATCAAATAGTTATTCAAAAGATAACATCCATGAGCATTAATTTAAATGAGTTTAAAACAGGAACGGAGGAAGCACGAACCACGTCTTCTTCTCCTGAATTCTCTTGGAGCAACGGCGAGGGTAGCAACCTTCAAGTTCTACCTGAAACTGTGAGGTGGCCTCCCCCGTGAAGGGGAGGTCAGTACTTGGAAGCATTTGACAAGTACAATGACAACTATACTAAGTATAATCAAAGTTTAAATTTCCAAGACCCTCAATCTAGGATGTTATTATATTATAGGTCATAACCCGTGGTTACCCTCTTTGAAAGTATACTTACTTTATATATAAAGTCAAGTAGTCGCCCGAAGGCCCATGTTTACCTTGAAAACATTTAACCATTTCCCCGTGACTTCAAGCCACACCCATCTATATTAGTTTACCATGCTAGAGGCTTCCTCTAGTCATGTTTTGTCGTGCTAGAGGCTTACTCTAGTCACTCCACTTGATGTTAGAGGCTTCCTCTAATCACCTTACATACGTTGTGCTGGAGGCTTCCTCCAGTCACATTACGTTACGCTAGAGGCTTCCTCTAGTCGTCCTACACGAACGCTGGAGGCTTCCTCCAGTCATTCTTCATCGTGCTAGAGGCTTCCTCTAGTCACGATACTAGTTCACTAAGCAAGTTCTATGCCTAGAGTTCCTCTATTATGAGTAGCCTTTGAGGCCTACTCCTACGGTAACTTAGCGTTTACCCATTTCTACCTTAAGACATCTCATAAGACTACTTAAGGTGTACCTCTCTCACAATCCAAGCCCTTAGGATTTGTTCTATCACTTTTCATACTAACATTTCCGACTAGTAAAATCAATACTAATCCATTTGTCTTTAAGCCACCAAGCTCTTTAATTCATAGTTATAAGGCTCATTCCCATGAATTTCCCAATCTATATATGATTTAATCTCAATATCAAAAATATCACTTTTATCCATTCATGATTTCTATACATGAAGTAAAAGTATATTTCATCACAAACATTCATGATTTATACATTCATCATTTCATCATTCTTACAATGCATAAATTTGTAAGATTTATGATTTATGAAGTAATACACCATTTACTCATAAATTTGTATATTATGCATCTTCTATTAATAAACAACAATATTTTCATTAGGCATTATTAATCATTAATAATCCATGAAAATCACATTTAATTATCTTAGGTAATCTTATGAAATTAACCCAAGGATTATAAGCAATATAGTCGGTCATCCTCACCTTAAGCGAGCTTAAGCGCGTTCTACGCTTCCCGATTGAACTTTGACTAATTCCGGCAAACTTTGACCAACTCCGGCGAACTTTGACCAACTCCGGAGAAACTCCGGCGAAGCTCCAAAGTACTTTAATCAAGTTCCTAACAAGGTTTTAACATCATAAAACCTTAATCAATACGAATAACCTCTAAAAGGTTATTTTCCGGTGAACTTGTCGGTTTGGCTCCTAAGTCCGTTTTTGGACTTAGAACCCCCTTCCAACCCATCATTCTACACTTAACTCATGTGGAACAATCCTCAATGTTCTTCATATGATATATATCTCATATGGTAGAAGAAAAATAAAGGAAAAGCTATGATAAGGCCATTACCTCAACTTTTCTCACTTTTTCCTAGCTTTTCTCCTCTTGAAACACCTTCTTTGGACTACTCCTCCTTGAGCTCGGTTCTTGGCTATGGAGGATGAGTTTGCAGAGCTCTTTCTCCCCTTTTCCTTGGTGCTGGCCGAAGTGGTTGAGTGAGTAAGGAGGGGGTGGGTTTCTTTTTGTTTCTTTTGGGCAATTATGGGTGAGACGGGTCCTCTTACATGTCAAACATGTTTCCTCCATCAACTAAAGAGTATTCAGCCACCTTTTGAGCTCAATCAATCCCCTTTTTGGTTGACAATTTCGTGGGGTGGCCCCCACCTATGTGGGAGGTCATCCCAATTCGTCCCAAAGTGTACAATCGGTCCCGAAAGTTGTATTTTTTGGACTGTTTTAAATATATTTTATTTTATCGGGTCAAATAAAATATATTATGTGTTCTCCATCATTATAACCCTTATAATGAATATTCATTCCCCAATTTTAATTTATAAGTCCCCGAAATTAAATTTCGGGCTTTTATCGGTTAAATTGCCAATACCGGTATTTGGGCCTCTTTTGACCAATCGGTCAACTCAAGACCTTTCCATGGTTCAAATGAATTATCCACCACCATATAAATATTATCTAGACCAAGATGAATAATTTATGTGGTCCCGGGAATATCGGGCGGCCCCCGCTCCCGGTGCGGGCCCCACGTGCGAACTTACTATTCACGCAAAAATTAATAAAAATTCGTAACCTCGTAAATTCGTCAACCATTCCATAAGGTTAAAATACAATATTCACTTTAAAAGTAAATACATTTGGGGACGGTGTTACAAAACATTTGAAGAAATAAGGAAATTTGCTGAGTGGATCGCAAACATCGGTGATGGAGCTATAGGGGATTTTTCAAATGGTTTTGCAACAATTGAAATTCCAGATGATATTTTGCTCACGTATGAAAGTGATCCAATAGCAACCATAGTGCGAAGTACATATCCCGGATTCCCTCATATTGGCAATGATCCTTCATACCTTGAGAAACGTGCAATATTGGCTCCAACTCTAGACATTGTTGATTCTATAAATCAATACATGATGTCATTGAATATGCAGGAGTAAAAAACGTATTATAGTTCCGATAGTGCTTGCCAGTCAGACACTAACGTTGATCTTCTGGCCGATGTTCATAGCCCTGAGTTCTTAAATAGTCTTAAGTGTTCCGGTGTCCCAAATCATGAGTTGACTTTAAAAGTTGGAACTCCGGTTATGTTGTTGCGCAATATAGATCATTCGATGGGGCTTTGTAATGGCACGAGATTGGTTATCACGAGACTAGGACAACATGTTTTGGAAGCTAGAATATTGTTTGGTCATACTTCAGGTCAAAAGGTGTTGATTCCAAGATTAAATTTGACTCCTTCAGATGTGAGAATGCCATTTAAGTTTCAACGAAGACAATTCCTAATTGTTGTTTCATATGCAATGACAATTAATAAAAATCAGGGTCAATCGCTTTCTCACGTCGGGTTGTTTTTAAGGAACCCTGTTTTTTGTCATGGTCAACTCTATGTTGCCGTGTCACGAGTCACCACACGTCAAGGATTGAAAATATTGATATCCACCGAGGACGGCACCCAAAGTAGTTCCACAATGAACGTGGTGTATCCCGAGGTTTTTCAAAATGTGTAATTCTACTTTTTGTGATGCAATCATTTTCGTATTGTATTTGTATTTGTGTTATACCAACCTTAAATGTCATTTGGTGTTATGTTATACATGTATTACGTTCTTATTTAAGACCAATATCATTCATTAATATTTTAATTTATCAAAAACATAATTAACCTAAAAAAAATATTTGTCCCGTGCATCGCACGGGTTACATACTAGTTCATGGAATAAAAAACATACAGTCCTATTATGGATTTCAAGATATTTTTACTCCCATGTAAGGCAATTTCTGTTAGTTAAATAGGGAATTAAACGGCAAATTAGAGGCTTCTCTCTTTTATTCCTTTTTACTCTTTTCAATCTTTGTTAATTTATTCGCGTATAATTTACGTATAATACACTCAAACATATAATAATTCATACACCTTCGTCTTTGTGGACTTTGCCAAGTGTCAAAGTAGGTAAGAAATAAGAATAGTAAAATTGTGTTGTTGAGATTTGTGCAGAGGAGAGAGAAATGTGCAGAACCACAAATTAGTTGTTTTAATAGAAAAGTGGCAAAGGTTTTTGGGACAACCAGAAAGGGAAAGTTGACAAAGTCCAATGGGAAGGAGAGAATATATAATACGTAGTACTTCTGTTTATGAATTTTTCAAAAAACTCTGAAAAAATCACATACTTTATAGAGAAAAATATGTAATACACGTACCTCACGTATTGATTTATATACAAGGCTTAAAAATTTATTATGCCTTGTACACTCGTTAATTGTTTAATAGTCATTAGATTTAATAAATTAATTCCTTGAACTTGAAGGCTTGAAGTCATAATCCGTTTGGATATTACTATTGTATTACTCTTGTGTTCTACCCATACCAAGACTCTAAAGAGAAAAGAATATTGTGACGGCTCACCAAACTCATTGTTGCACTAATATCAACTATTCTCTAGTAACATATCTCTAATTCTAATTGTCATTTTTATTTCTTATTGCACCTATGAATCCAAATTGGTATGTTTGAAAAAACTATTACATACATTTTAAACTATTGAAGAATGCGGTGTATATGTTAAATTATTTTTTACTTCTATCATTAAATTAGTATATAAAACACTTATTATATGTCGTATTTTTAAACTGTGAAACACGTTTAAAACACGCCCATATCTTTAATTTTTCTATTTCACCAACGTATGAAACATATATTTAGGCGAATTTTATATAATTGTATCGAATTATACACGAACGTACGTATTATTGTATTATTCACGAATGGCGTGTAATGCTAACAAACCTTTTGTAAATCATCATACTTCTCTCCTTTATTCTTTTTTCTTTTGCATCTAACAACTTTTAACTTGCGTCTAAAAGTATTGTGTGAATTCCAAAATATATCATACGGAGCACTACGTATGATATAAAGATTTGATTAAAATGATTCACCTCAATCTAAAAGTATTAAGTGTTTGAAAAAATTCAAAGTGAATGTTCATTGATGAATTTTTTTATCCTTTGCTTCACTTGTGTATAATGTTGACATATGTCTGATGTGTTATGTGTTTATAATACTCCGTAAGTTTTACTAAAAAGTTTTCTAACTAAATTTAGTTATAACTTATAACAAAGTTTAGATGTTTTTTTTTTGTTTTTTCGGTTAAATGTTTAAAGATTCTGTAAAAGTATTGACACATGCTTTTCCAACGATTCTTTTCTATAATAAATCAGCAAACATAATTAACTTTATTGATTTAAATTGTAATGCATTTATTACAGGTAAATATTGAATTGGGTTTAATGTTATATTTAAATGAGTATAGCGATTAAAAAAGATAAGCATCATCATCAAATTGTAGAATTACCACAACAAATTTTTGACATGATAATATAGCCAAGGGGCGGGGCCCTATGCCCAAGAAAAATGAAAAAAAGTAGTTGGATAAACTGATTTTATTCAGGTTTAGTTTTTTATAATAGATGAGAGTGGGCTGATTTTTCGGCCCTAAACTAATACCTCGTACTTTTTTGAGGTGCTTTCGGGTGGATTTGTTTGATGAAAATTTGTGATCATATCCCTATGAAGTTGATATTATGTTCAAAAACTTTCAATCTAAAATTCAATTTAGAAGCCAGTTAAATAATTATTGAAAAACATTGCGCTTTTTATGTATGTTGAGGTTTATTCCTTCAACCCTCGGGTCCAACACGTAAGCCCAAGAGTTTCGAGTGGAGTGTGTATGAATAATCTAGCCCAACTAACAAGTGAGATGGATTAAGAAACAGTAAGTAGCCAGTAAGAGATTATGTATTATTAATCAGTTAATAACTCCCCAATACAATACTTTAGCTATGGCTCGTCGGCCGTTCGTCTTACAAGGCAATAGAAGAGCTGCGAGTAAGAATGCTATAAGCTAAAGTGCTAAGAATAGTAAGTTGCCAACCCTTTACAATGAAATAAATGCTGCTACGTATACTACCAATTGGTAGCTGGCTATGCTGTCGTGGAGGCTTGTGTGTGGCTGGTGTCCCAACCACCAAATCTCCGGCATTAAATGCGCTTCCCGCCAGAATCTGGGTTTCCCGCCTAGTTATGGAGACGTTCGTCCAGTCCGGATAAGGGGGCATGCTCCTGGCGTTACTTGCAAAGGGTAATGGGCCGTTCGTATCCTGGCCCTTAGAGAATTTGCCATACCAATTGGATTGTCATCAAGCGGCTATGGGCTTGAACTGGAGACGTTCGTTGTCACTATACTGGTTTGTGGGCCTGACCCACTATCGTATGTGTGGACGCTCGTCGGGATGGGTTAGTAAGCCTAGGCGTTGGATCCGACGTTCGTCTGTACCATATTTGCCTGTTAGCTTAATCCACCCAATGACCTGTCTGGACGTTCGTCCGACTAAGGGTGTAAATGGGCCGGCCCTCTGCTTGGGCCATTAACCCAACACAAGTCCCCCACTTCTGATGTTCTGAGCGGGCGCAGGACATAAAGAAGTATAATGTTTCTCGAGGGTAAGACGCTCATGGCGTGGCACTTGTGCTTGTCGCGTTTAGGGAAGGTGGACATTCCTCGCCGCGACGTGTCTTATTTGATGGCGGTTCAGGAATCGAGGTGACGGCTGCCGCAGAAACGATACATTTTCCGAGGTGAGATCATCATTACATTCCCATCTCACACGCAGCACGTGCATCTGGGTACGCTCCTCGCCACGCGTTGCCTTCCCATTGGCCTCCGAATCGGTGCCTCTCTTATAAATACCAGGGTTTCCCTTGGGCTTAGGGTTCCCGATTTCTGCTTTCTCGCTCTAGAATCTCCGCTGCTCCGTGCTCAGTTCATCCACAAAGTCCCTAGCTTGCCTCCGTCGTCCCAAGGTATTTCAGACTCTCTTTCTCCTTTTCGTAACCCTTTTCTGATCTTCCCAATGACTTCTATGGAAATCTCCTCGATTTCTTGCTCGGGTTCCTCTTCCGGCTCCTCTTCTGGCTCTGAGTCCAGTTCTCGCTCTTCCGAGGGTGCCAGTACCTCCGGCCGCTCCGGGCCCCGTCTGTTGCGGGAATGATTGTGCAAGACAATGCTCCCGAGAGCTCTACCTCCGCGAGCACCTCCTCGGCAGACGCAATCCAGGGTGATGCGGTCCTTGGGGGAGGTGGGGACGATGCCCCCCAAGGAGGTGCGATCCAGATGTTCGTGGAAGATGCAGCCGCTGATGGTGATCACCCAGCAGACTATGATTCGGGCATCGAGGCCGCTGATGGTTCCGACGTAGAGGTGTTCGATCTAGGCCTCACGGTTGATGTGGAGCGTCACCTTTTCCCCATAAAGAACGCGATTGGTCATGAGCAATTCTTCTCTTACCCGGCCCTTGAGGTGCTTCGGATCTACTTTCCCGACCCGCTCAGCTACAGCCTCCGAGGCGTGACCCACGTGATGAGGAGACGCCCAGGGATGGTTATGGTTCATTTTGACTCCTTCAGGGCCGGACTGCGATTCCCACTCCATCCCTTTTACATCGAATTTTTTAGCTGCTTCCAAGTGGCTCCAGCGCAGTTCATGCCCAACTCCTATCGCTTTATTTCTTCGTTCCTTGTTCGTTGTAAGGGCGTCGGTGTCACTGCAACTTTAGAACTGTTCCACTTCTTCTTTCGGATCACTCCCCAAAATTCAGATGGGTATCTGAGCGTAGCCGCTCGTCCGAAGCGGAGGCTCTTCGAGGGGGGCACCGACGTCCATCCACAAATGGAAAAATAAATACTTCTTCGTTCGTTATGAGGACGCTCGTCTGCCAATTCGCTGGAACGGGTATCCTCCTAAGATTGGCCCTCCTAAGTTGTCCGACGAGCTGGAAGAGCAAGCCAAAAGTTGCTGGACGTTGGAATTCAGAATGTGGAAGACATCCTTACCTTTGAGAAGCTCGCTGAGGTGGGGATAGGTACCGCCTGAATCTCTGGACTCCCCTCCCCCTACGTTTGTCTCTAAGATCCGGGCGGTCCTGTCCTCCAAGGTGAGTGCTTTAAGGGTCATGCCGTCCGGTGCTAACTCCTTGTGTTTTATCGTTTCAGGTCCTCCCCCAACCAAAGCTCAAATGAATCACGTCAAGCTTCTGAAGACGAGGAAGGGGAAAGGCGCAGCCGCCGACGCCGCTCTGGCTAAGGCCAGGGCCACCCAGGCCGCTGATTCTAACTCCTCCGCCTCTCAGGCCGATCGGCGTACGGTCGAGGCGGAGCAGCACCTGATTGCCACGGTGATGGCTCAGAGGGTCCAAGCACCCTTGTTGATTCTGGCGTCCCCGACGCGGTGGCGCCCCTGCAGACAGTCCTTCCTCCGGGCGGAGAGAAGGCTAAGGAGAAGAAGACGAAGAGGCCCCGCGAGGCTGGCTCTTCGGGCCCCGTAGAGCAAGAGGTGGCCCCTCTCCCCCTGGGACGTCCGGCCCATGACGTCTGGCAAGAAATTGCCTCTTTGGATGGGGTAGAGATGTCGGCCCGGACGTCCTCGGAGGCCACCAACGCTGCTTTAGCTGCCGCTCTTCAGGCAAATTTGCCTTACGCTGACTAGCGGGTTTCAGTTCTGGAGATCTGTAATCTTATATTCATGTTCTTTATTTGCAGGTTGGGCTCTCCGTGCTGCAAGCTGAAGCTGCGAGGGATGCTGACGCCCTTCAGGCTAAGAATAAGGCGGATGCAGCCCTGAAGAAGGCGCGGGAGGCCGCCCGTCTCTTAGAGAAAGATGTGGCTGCCAAGGACAAGGAGTTGCAGGCCGCCTGGCAAGAAGCTCGTGAGTCAGCCGAGCAGGTTGCTGCCTTTGAGAAGGCTGGGTTCAAGCTCGTCCCGGTCCTTCCCGCCCAGAAGGATGTGGCCCCTGAATGGCTCGTTGATACTTCTGGGTATGAAAATATCGGGGCCTTTATGATTGCCGCCCAGAGGTATTGCGGAGGTGCGTTCGGCGATGTATTCTCGGCCGAGCTGGAGAAGGAGAAACCGAAAGACCGCCTTCGATTCGGGGTCCGGGTTAAGCCAGCTACTCAGTTTGAGTTTGAGGTGGTGGACACAACTTCCAGAAGCTTTGTTGTTGATTTGAAGGCCAAGACATGCTCATGTTGTGAGTTTCAACTTGAGCAGTTCATATGTGTTCATGGTGTCGCTGTGGTGTGTAATCGTCGCGGTTTATCTTGTTATGACTATATTTCAAAGTATTACTTCACACAATCTTGGGTTGCTGCTTATAGTGGTGCGGTTCACCCTATTGGTTCTCTTGTGGATTGGGACATTCCTGCTTCTGTAAGGTCTACAATATGCAAGCCGCCTACATGTGATACACGCCAACCTGGTAGACCTAAGAAGAAACGTATACCTTCAACTGGAGAATTTTCTTCCCGCCAACGGTGTTCACGGTGTAAAAAGGATGGACACAATAAGAAGTCATGCAGAAATCCCCTTTCAGTCCGTCGTGTTTAGTTTCAAAATAAACTAGCATTTGTGTTCACCTTCTCCTTTAATAATTGTTGTAAGACATTCATGTTTCAGTTTAATTGTTCTTTACTTTCATGGTGTTTAGTTGTTATGAACTTGGTGTTTTTTGTTAGTCTTTTGACAATTATGTTGCGGTAATGTTTGTTCTTCTACTGAAGACCCCTAGATAAAACGGTTTTTACAATGCTAATTACTGTGTCTTTACTGTCTCATTACTGTCTATTTAACGCCTACTTACTGTCACTGATAGTTGTTTATATTTACTACTACTGTCTATCCTATTATGTTGTTATGCTTAGTATTAGAAAGCTCATTTTTTATCTTTATAATCCTTGTGGTTGGACTGTACCTTTTTTTAGTATTCCATCTTTTTAGTGGATTTTATTAACTTTGTATTGAATGTTATTTTTGAATAAAGAAATTTTTATAAAGGAATTATTATTTTTATCTCCTCATTTAAGAACTTGTATAAAATTATACATTGGTAAACTTAATGTCATGTTATAGTACATTTTTTGTACTGTGACATTATAGACTACTTATTACATACTTATTATCTTTGCTAAACATTTGAAGCATACATTACAGATCAACTCAATAACAAAAAAATGAATAAGCATTTCTTTCATTCCAAAGCAAAACATTCCATATAGTGAATATATGAAACCATATGTCAGTAATACACGGAGTAACAAGTCTTGCTAAACAAAGTAATGAAATTATACATTCTTTTTGCTTCAAAACACATAGCTTCAACAGAAATTTTTAAGAAGATTACATCTTATTTTATTTTAAGTACTGTCTTTGTGCTTAAACTAGAAATCACTTTGAGCTTTCAACTGTCTCATGTTGTGCATACAGTAGCAGCTCCGTCGTCATTTTCTGTCGGTACATTTCTATGTCATCCTTTGAAACTTCTTTCACATCTCTATCCATCATTAGATATTCAGCAAACTTTATGACAAACATGCCACAATTACCCCTGTTCTTTTTTATAACCCGGTAGGCAAACCACCAAAATCAGTGGGGTAAATGCCGGGGAACATTTACCGGATTTTATTAAAATTTATCAAAAAATACATAAGGTGAGGGGGACTAGACCAAAACCCCACCAACTGAAAATACAGGAAATCTCAGCAAAAATAAAACTTAAAAACCAAAAATTGGGGGGACCAAACCTGACCCAATCGAACAAAACCAAAGCAAAAACCGAAATTATGAAATTCGAATATAACTTAATCCAAGCTTATCTGCAATCAACGAGCACCGAATATGCCCAGGAATTTGTGTAATGTTGTAATAAAACAAAGGTGCATCAGAAATTATTTTTGACAGAAAGTGTGCTGGCCAGTTCATCTCCCTAAGGACATGTCTGAACACAATTCCGCCTTCCAACCTCCACCGTCTAAGGTCGTCAACCAAACGCCTCCATCTTCCCTCCCGGTTTCCTTCTTGTACCGCGTCGTAAACCATCCTAAAATCCATCTCCACCTCAAAATCATGATAACCATTGTCAATAGCCCAAGAAACCGACTGGTGTAACGCCTTGAATTCCGCATCCATAACCGAGATTGCAAAGAGAGGAAAGTGAAGAGCAGCTATGAACTCACCTGACCGAGATCTAATCACAGCACCACCAGCTTTCCCAGCTACACTGAAAGATGCATCAATATTCAGTTTGAAATCCATCAAAGGTAAGTTCCATTTCAAAGCCTGAATCCTCGGTCTCTTAGATTTAAAGGAAAGCAGAAGTAACTTTTCATCAAAAAGAAATTGATTAGGCTTTCCTAATTTAAGATGTGTAAGTTTAGCATCAGACCACGATTGCGTGAAAGATTTGATTTGATGAATAATAAAATTTGGCCGATTCACCTGCACTATATCTCCCCATTTGATCTGACAATAATGTTTCCATATATGCCAAGCAATAATCCCTGCCATATTATGTTTAAACATATCCAGAAGAGTTTTTGAACCCGCTGTCAACCACCAAGAAATCAACATCTGTCTCATGGATAATGTATTACTTGAATGTGGAATCTCAAAAAGTCCAAGAAAATACTTCCAAATGGCCCAACTAAAAGGACAATTGATAAGAACATGGTCCATGAACTCAGATTCCTTTCTACAGAAAGGGCATATAGTAAGAAAAATTGTCATATTAAATCTTTTTAAATTATCAGGGAAAGGGAGAATTTTATGTAGAGCCTTCCATTGAAAAGTCTGAATCTGACTTTGCTGACAGGTATTCCAGGTGTGGCTGAAGGAGAAGAGAACATTCCTTGATCTTCTGACTTGGTGAAAAGCTGAGGCTAAGCTGAACTTCCCACTACTTTCCGGAGCCCAGATTACTTGTCCATCACTATCCTCCTCACAGAGTGATTGTCCCATGTCATGAATCTTACAAATTCTCTTCCAAATAGAAGAGTCTGTAACTTTAGGATACATAGTTGTGCCCCTAGGATATCTCTCATGACAGAACTTTGCCCAGATAGTTCTATTGTTTTTCCAATTCCACCATAACTTTAGAGAATAAGCCTTCTCAATATCCACCAATGATCTCAGTCCAAGACCACCTTCCCCATAAGGCAAACAAAGATCCTTCCATCCTATCCAATGATATTTCAGTTTACTATCATTGGATCCCCAAAGGAAGTGAGACATTCTTTTATTCAAACTTTTAATAATTGCTTTGGGAAGAGTGTCTACAGCTAGAACATGGAGAGGTATTGCATTCAGAACATGTTTGATTAATACCAATCTTCCTCCAAAGTTTAGATTTTTTTGTTTCCAGGTGGTAAGCTTCTTATCAAAAGCAAGAAGAATACTGTTACAATAGTTCCTCCTATTAACACCTTTATGTAGAGTAGAACCAAGGTATTTCATAGGAAAATTGACCTTAGTCATACCCAATAATCTCTCCATATTCCTGATTCTAGCTAAAGAGGCTTTCCCACATGCAAAGTTACTTTTATCAAAGTTAATAGATTGACCTGAAGCTCTTTGATATAATCCCAAGAATTTTTTAAAATTTTGAATAGATCTAGCTTCCCCATTCAGAAAGATTAGAATATCATCCGCATAACTCAAATGAGTTACTGGATGTCCAACAGGCCCAATCCAATAGGGTTTTATGTGATTAGATGAAACCAAGCTCTTCAGACCCCTTGATAATGCCTCTGTAGCCAAAATAAATAGATAAGGGGATAGAGGATCCCCCTGTTTAACACCCCTTTTTGGCTGAAAGAACCCCTTTGGTGTTCCATTTATAAGTACTGAAAAATGAGTAGCTTTAAGATTATTCATCACCAAAGAGACAAAACCATTACAAAAACCAAACTTGGAGAGAACTGCTTGGAGAAAGTCCCATGATAGCCTGTCAAAAGCCTTAGCCATGTCCAACTTAACCATGATATTAGTTCCCCGAACCTTCCTATCAATAGAATTGACCATTTCTTGAGCAATTGAAATATGTTCAGAGATATCTCCTCCCTTCATAAACCCAGCCTTACTAATAAAGTTTGAAAGACTAATAGGCCTGAAATCAGAGAAAGTAGTTATCTTATCCTTTTAGGAATAAGAACAATGAGAGAGCTTGCCATAGCCTTAGGAATCATATTTCCTTGGAAGAAATCCTGAGCTGCCATGACCACATCATTTCCAACAAAAGACCAGCACTGTCTGAAAAAAATACCATTATATCCATCCGGCCCCGATGCACTATCCTTGTCTAAACCCCAAACTGCCGCCTTAACTTCTTCAGGTGTAGGGATCATCATCAACATATCATTATCATTGTTGTTGACTAATTCTGGAATGTATTGCAGAATGGAGTCAATATCCTGCACCTCCTCCTCTGCAAAGATATTCTGAAAATAATGTTCCGTAGCATTGGCAATATCTTCAGGCTCAGTACACAAATTCCCATCAGAATCCTTTATCACAGATAGGGCCTGCATTCTTCTTTTAATATTAACATATGCATGGAAAAAACTGGTATTAGAATCTCCTTCCTTCAGCCACTTCACCCTAGCCCTTTGCTTCCAAAATTCCACCTCCTGCTTATGTCTAGATCTTAAAAGGGCTTGCTTAAAAGACAAAATCTCCCTATTTGTTTCCGAGGAATCAGATTCATATACTATTTCTGCCTCATTAACCTCATCTTCTAGCTTCTTGATATCCTTGAAAATATCTCCAAAAATAGTTTTGTTCCAGTTTTTAAGAACCTGTTTCAGAGCTTGTAATTTATTGTAAAGCCGCCTCATGCCTCCAACTGTTGCATAGGAACCCCAGGCTTCCTTAACAATCTGTAAGAAATTGGGATGTGAAACCCACATATTTTGAAATTTAAAAGGCTTTGGTCCAGATATTGCTTGATTTTTACACTGTAACAGGATGGGAGAATGATCATAAGATGTTTTGTTGAGATGCGCAATCTGGATGTTATCAAAAATTCCAAGAAAAGCAGAGCTAAACAACACTCTGTCCAGCCTCCTCCAAACTCTCCCATTGGCCCTAACCCCGGACCAAGTAAAAGGAGTACCATAAAAAGGTAAATCTAAAAAATCACAGGTAGCTAAACAATCTTTAAACTCAGTCATACTACCCAACAGAGGTATTGACTGACCTTTAGGTTCTCCTTGATTAGCTATAGCATTGAAGTCACCTCCCACAAACCAGGGTTCATTATTAGTTGCAGCCCAACCTTCCAAGAACTGCCAAAGGTTCCTCCTTTGCAAGTAATTGTGACTTCCATAAATAGCAGTAAACCAACTATTATAAGACCCAAGAAGAATTTTCATATGGATATGTTGACTTCCAGTAGTAATATTAGTAATATCCAGAGTAGCTTTATACCAGAATAACCAGATTTTATTCTCATTGCAGAAAAAATAAGAGTTCAGCCCCAACATCAAAGCAATCTCATTAATTTTTGCAGAAGAAATAATTGGCTCAATAATCACTAAAAGATGAATACTCCACTGCCTAATTAAGTTACGTAGTCTTGGGCAGG